ATAGGGAAATCTTATGGGAGGGAAAGATTAATCCCAATTTTTCCCATTCCCTTATGGAATTGCTATAATTCCACACTTAATGGCGACGCGAATACAAATAATTCTGTGGAGGGATGGCACAGGAGTTTTAATTCATTGCTGACTTCCTATCATCCTACAATATGGAGATTTATAACAGGTATAATATTAAATTTCCAGGTAAAAAAATTAAGAAAAAAATTCTAGAATAATTTAGTTTTTTTAAATTAAAAAAGGAATTGATTATACATTGAATATTTATATCATTTTAAGCTGAGTTAAAAATTGTCCAACTACAAGGAGGTGATGATGAAGCTTCTCCAAGAAAAAAATACAGGAATCTCTCAGAAAGACTAAAAAGAATAGTATCGGATTACAGAAATCGCGATATTTTATCGTACTTGAAGGGCCTAGCATCCAATATTAATTTAAATATATCATTTTACAATAATGTATTCAATTATAATAAAAAAATAAAATAGCAAATATATATTTTTATATTATTTTATATTTTTTAGTAAAAATATAAAACTCTATAAGCAGCTAGAAGATTGTAATTGTATTCTCATATTATTATTATTAGATTTTTGGTTAGAAAAATTCATTTTTGTGGCAATATAGTGAATTGATCTTTAATAATATATGAAGAGTTTTATAAATAAAATTAAATTCTATATATAAATTGAAACGCGAAAGTGAGATTTAAAAAAATTACTAATCAAAAATATTAAGGGTTGTAAACATTAATAAATTTTAATATAACGAGTTAGATTTAAGGCACTAGTCTTGATCCCAAGTTCAGTTAGGGTTCCAGAATTTAAAAAAAATTAAATTATTATTTTAGAGTAATAAAATATAACAAAATATGAGTTAATAAACAAGTCATGTAATCTATTTATAAATCTTATTTCGTAGTATCATCAATTAACTTATATAAATCTTTAAAAAAATTGAAAAAAAATTATTGCACCTTTCATCTTTTTAAAGTAAGGTGCCAGAAGTAAATTATAGTTTGGTAATAACTTTATTTTTATCTAATTCCAAAACTGTCTAAAGATTTTAATAGAAAAATATTATATCAGCCGCTGGGTTATTTTTGAAAGGATAGCTTTATCAACGCTAAAAAAAATTATACTTTTATTAATATTTAGCTATTTTTTACAGTACAGACAAAATTGAATTTAACATATTTCAATGTCATAATTAGTAAAAATAAATAATATAAATGTCGTAAATTAATATACCCGTGTTCTTCGGTCTGCATTTTTTAGCTCTGATTATTTAAAGCCCTGTCCTTAATTTTCAAATTTCGTTATTTTGAATATTTTCTCTGTATTTTATAAATTGTTTTATACGGAATTTAAAATAAGTAAATAATATTAAAGCATAATTTAAATGTTTTTCACTATAATATTAAACGGCATAAAAATATGGATTTGTGGCCTTCTGTTTCTCTTAAAGTTGAAATTGTTTTAAACCGTATCATGAATAATAAACCAATTTGCACAGGGAGATTTAGATAATTAAATAGACAGAATATGAAATTAAAAAATCTTCTTTTCCCATTTCAGAAAGTCTCATAATCATTATGTTTAAAAATATTTATTGTAGGCATTCTCTTTCAGGCAGAATAATATGATTTGAAAATAACTTCATCTCTATTAAAACCACCAAAATATATAATTAAATATATTATTTATCATTTTAAGATTTATATTTGAAACAGGAGTTGGCATTTATTATTTTTAAATTTAACAATGTTTAAATTTAAAAAAGATAAGATTTTACGTTTTAAAGCTATAAAATTAATAATTTTGACGATTACAAAAGATTTAATAAGATAGAGGTCTCAATCCAATGTTCCCCTTCATCTAATCTTATTTAAAAAAATTTAAAAATTATCAACATATTTTTTAGCGCTGGAAAGGGTTAATCATATCAGTAACTAGGGGCTAGTAGAATTAGGTCGAATTAATTATATTATGCTTTAAAATATGATATAATAAGTATTCATTGGTTATTATAGCTTTAAATTCTATTTTTTTCCCTTTTAACTTTCACCTTTTCTGGTGGTTGATAATCAAAAGAATTAGAAAAAAAATTAAAAAATTCATTAAAACTTAAACATTTTTTAAAATAAAATATCACATTTTGAAATTTTTTATGAATTATTTATATACAAATGGTGTATTATTGATAATAACAATTATCCTGTAGGAGACTTAATAAACCAATATAATCTACAAGCCTGGGGTTTGGGGCTTGTTGGGGCAAAAATTAACTTTTACTAGAATCAATCTTAAAATATAAAATATTAAAATATTTATTAATAGGGTCTTTTGTAAAAAAACGACTTAATCTAATCGTTAAAAAAATTGAGTATTCTAAATTCCACATATTTTTTAATAAAATACGAATTTCATAAATAACAAGTGACGTGTTTTAGAGGTAAATAATTTTAAAACGCTACTTTAAATAAATATAGACAATTAAGCTGGTTCTCTGGTTTTTTGGAACTTAATAAATGAGTTAAATATAATTTTGTCAAATATAAATCACTATTGCATTGTGATAATGTTAGTTGTAATGCATTCGCTATGATGCATTCGCGATAATGCATTCGCTGTAATATATTCGCTCTGATACATTCGCTATGATACATTCGCGATAATACATTCGCTGTAATGCATTCGCTGTAATGCATTCGCTATAATGTTTTCGCGGTAATGCATTCACTATAATGCATTCGCTATAATGCATTCGCGCTAATATATTCGCTATAATACATTCGCTATGATGCATTCGCGATAATGCATTTGCGGTATTACATTCGCTGTAATGCATTCGCTATAATATTTTCGCGGTAATGCATTCGCTTTAATGCATTCGCGCTAATATATTCGCTATGATACATTCGCTATAATGCATTCGCGGTAATGCATTCGCTATAATATCTTTTCGCGGTAATCGACATTCGCGATAATGCATTCGCGATAATACATTTCGCGATAAAAGTTTCGCGGTATTGACGTGATACGAACGAATTATGGCCTTTTGTTTATATTAATATTGACAAATTTAGGATCGAATCCAGGATCGGCGATCTTTTGATTCGATCCTTTAACAACTCTGCTAATAAATAAAAATAAATTTCGATTGCATCCTTAGTAGTAAACTTGACAGTCATTGATATAAATATTATATTTATAAATAAAAGTTTCAAAACAAAATAAATAAATGATATAAATATTTTTGTAATAAAATTGAATTAATTTTAAAAAAATATAGATCATCTAGTATCCTGTGGCGTATCCAGGATTTTCTTATGGGTGGGGGGGGGGGATTTTTTTGGTACCTGGCCTTAAGCCAGCTTTCTGCCGGCCTTCGACCGGGTCTTATGTTTTAGCTATTCCATTAAATTATGAATAATTAAATAATAATTCTATTTCTATTTATAACTTTTATTTATTAATTCGTGCTTATGGATATTACAAGCCTATTTTTTATTATTTTAAATTAGGTATATTATATTTAATAAAGTTTTTTTAAATATAAAGTTGAAATAAAGTTTAATGTCTTTCTTTTTTTTATAATATTTGCTTTAAAAACTAGCCTCATATTCTCATACGTAGAATATAATTTTTTTATTGAAAATACTAATAGTAGTGTGTATAAAATATTGACTAGAAAATAATTTAAAAAACAAGTTTTTTTTAACTTCTTATCAAATATATTATTCAAAATTTTTTATTAAATACTATAATTATGGTGATTTTTAATTTTCGTAGGTATTTTGTTAATTCATCAAGAATTTCGTTTGTCGTTGAAACCAAATCTCTGTGGATATTTAACAGAACTAACCCATTTAACCGAGACGGAAGTAGTACTTTGAAAATATGTTTTCAACCTTCTCAAGTTGAAAGTTTTTTCATTCGTACATGTTGTATTAGGCAAACATGCAAGAATATAAAACAACTTCAAAATATTAGGGAATTGAGCCAAGGTTTCTTTATACCGATTGAGCGCATCAATAGCATGCTCAGGTAAAATAACTAAACATAGTAAATATTTATATCACAATTCGAATTCACTGATTAAATTTATTGTATCAAATCAATGCTTAACCTAATTTTTATAAAATATATGCTACCTACCTTTACCATTTTTTCCTTCAATTTGTATTTGTACATTTTTTCATGCTCAGCCTTATTTAACTTTTGTATTTCTATTTCTTCTGTTCTATAAAATGGAAATAAGAATGAAAAATATTTAAAACATTATAGATATTTATTAATAATTAAAATATTATTAAAAATACTTATTAATTCTAACTCCTAATAATTTTGAATTTCATAAAATAATTATATATAATAATAAAATAAATTACCGTTTTTCAATCTCTTTGACTAAAAATTTTTTCCATTTTTTTAAATATTTTTGAGTAATGTTAATGTACTCTCAAGGAAAGGAAATTTTAATAAAATTTATTTATGAAAAATAAGTTTTGTTGGAAAATTGATATTAAAATATTTGTAAAATTTTAATTGGTAGAGGGGGGGGGTAAATTTGTATTAGCTTAAAATGATATTTATGAAAACAGTCAAATTTGCGATGGGGACCCCCCCCCCATTGGTTAAGCGCCTGCTGGTATCGAACTAATCATTTCAGCGATTTTAATAGTGGACATGTTTAATTAAATGCTTATTGTATAAATTTATGATATGTTGTTTTGTTCCTCAGCATTTATAAATTTATATTTCTTTTGTTTTGGATGAACTTCCATAGACATTTTCCATTTTGTTTTAATTTTTTTTATGTATTTTATTTATGACATCAATATAAATACGATTTCTAAATGCAAAAAAAAAATTTAATATAAGTGCATTTCATAAATGGTAACAATTTTGGAGATTAAATTGGAATTTAATTTACATCTGCTTTAAAATATTAAAATGTCATAAAGTTTTTACTGTCAACGTAACGTGACATAACAAGACTGGTAACGTTACATTGGTAGAATGTCAATCTTGAAAAAAAGCTTCAGTTTTATTACAGTTTTGCAGTAACAAGTAAATACCATTTTTCATAGCTAACTCAAATGTGCTCTAAAATATAATGTTCAAAAAGCATAATTCTTTTTCTAAAAAAATTGAGTTTTAGATAAAATATGTATCTTATAACATTACATTATATTTTTTTATACAAAACTAAAACTAAATTCTGGAAATTTTTAATCTCTTTATTTCCTTGAATATTTCATTTATAATTTTTTTGCTAATTTCAGATGCTTATTTTAAATAAGAATTTCATTTTTAGAATCAAAAAGTGAACTACTTGAAAGCTAACAATACTATTTTCAAAAAAATTATTAAGCAAATAGAATTCTTTTTAAAAGTGTTGGTAAGGCAGGTCCTTTGAAAGAAGGATCTAGATATATATTTTTTTTATAGCAACAATATGTCTTAAATGCAGACATTTTATTAAAAATATCAAAAATTAAATCAGGCTTGTGAACTGAAACTATCCTGGAGTAGTGAACCTGGGTTTTTGAAAATTTATTCTGAACATTGTTTAGAAATTTTTTCCTAGCTTGAACCTAGCTTTTTAAAATTAAAAGTCATATTTAGATACCTTGAAATATAAATTAATTATTTGGATATTCCAAGATTATAATATTTTTGGCTATCTTGTATGGTTATGAGATTTTTAAGACCTTTTATAATTTGTTTATCATATGAAAGATTATAAGTGAAAAGTGACAAAGAACCCTTTAATATAATTTGAAAATTAAATTTAATGTAAATATGACTTATTTTAGATTCAATTATTTATAATTTATCTTGTATCAATATTTAAATTTTATCAAAACATTAATTTGTACAAAATTAGGAATAAATTAAAATATTCCTCCTTGATTATTTCTATATGTAAATGATTTGTATTTTTTTTTTAAATTATATATTAAATTTTATAAATATTTACCAAAGTGTTTATATATTTTTTGTGAAGGTTAAGAAATTTTATAAAATTTTTACTATAAATTTTTAGTTGTTGATGCCAATGGTTTTAGATTGGAACCAGCCTCCTTCCCCTTATAATTTGGTCCAGCCAGGGCTCATTACATCTCTTTTATATAGTGGAGCTAAATACCAGGGGCATCAAAAAAGCAAAGGCAATTGCTATGATGTTGAAGTTATTTTACAGGTTTATAATTTTTGTTCCACTAATTATTTTATAAAAAAACAATATAATTTATTTAAAGCACTCCAATAAAATTGAAAGGAAAAACACCATTCAACAATGGTTCCCTCTAGCAAATTCTTAGCTATACTTATGTGTTTAAAAATATAAATTTTATATTCAATTAAAGCAACTCTATAAAGCAAATAATTATCCCTAATCAATACTCTTTTTTTTAAACTAAAATGTGAAAAACTTATAAAACTGAGACCCAGGCCTGTGGAATTGTGAGGGTAGTCAAAATAAGACTAATATAATTTTTTTAAAATAAAAGTTTTTTATATCATTTAGCAAATTTAACCATTAAAATTGTTTTATTTTTCCAATCTATTTCATTTATTATGCTTATTCCAGCTCCAGTATCTAATACATTCTGATATCACTGTTGTTCTCCTTACATGAAACCTATTTTAAAATGACAAACCTATTTCATAATTCTGTTGAAGCTTGGATAAATTGGAGTTTTAAAGTGATCAAATTTATTTATGGCCCTGAAGATGTCAAAATTTTAAACCTTGCATTAATTTTTGAAAAAATATCTATTCTCAAGTCTGGTCTGGGCTTTTAAATTTTGGTTTCTGGCTTGGGTTTTTACATTAAAGTAGAGCTCTATATTGGATGGACCTTATTTTTCATATCCGACCCAATACAATAAAAACAATTAAAAATTTACATGTCTGATCCTTTCCAATTTTTTTTTTATTGGACTGTTGAAAATGTACAATATTTTAATGAAAAATAAAAATCTGCACTGAAGGATAATAATATTTTTTTGGTGTTCCTTAAAATGATATTCATAAATTTATTAGAAAAATTTAAAATTTTATCAAGGTCCTAGTCTGGGGACTATCTAAATTAATCTAATCAAGGTCCGAGTCCTACAGTTTAGGACTCTAATTTTAAACCCCTTACAGATTTTTTAAAATTACTATTTCATTAGCAGGATCTGCAGAAATCTGACCAATATTAAATAGTAAAAAATGTTCTAGGAAAAAATATACAGAGAAAAAACACATTTGGGAATAAAAACAAAGAAAAATATCACCAAATCTTTAAAAAAATCTAAAAATACTCACCACCACTAGAAAATTAAAAAACTTTCCTGCCTGTAAAAGCCATAGATACTTATGGCTGCTTCTTAGCTCTAAAGTATCTGCTTCATTTCTTGATCTGATTTAGGCTAGACTTGATACAACATTTAAAGTTTTGTTTAGTTCCACCTAGAGCCCTGCTAAAAACCTGGTTTTTGCTTGAAAAGTTCTAAAAGTAACAGAAAATTATATTTACTCTTGTTTTATCTAAATAAAATGATAAGTAAAATTTTTTACTTTGTTTAACTTCACAAAAATGTGATTAATTTATATTTTTAAATTAAAAAATTTCTGTCCTGCTTAAAAACTAAGCACCGGATAAAGCCTGAATGGTAACTGAGCTTTAGAGATATATTTTTTCCAAAAACCAGCCTCATGAGGTTAGGATTATGAGTAGAAGGTTAGCCAGATACCAGATATGGGCTAGGGCCAATATATAATGAAACTACCAGAAAATTTAAAAAACATGCAGCCCTAACTTAATTGTTTGATTTTACTGATTCTTGATTTAAACTAATGTCTGATTTGTGCTAGAGATAAAAAAATATTAAATACTAGTTTTACTTAATTTCAACGAAACTTGATAGGGGATAAGGGTTGGTACATTACCAAGGGTTAAGAGTAGGCCTATACTTTACTGAAATGAAATCAATTTATTGAACGAGTTTAGGGTTAATGTTAAAAGTTTTAGAAATTTAGTACAGTTTCTTCTACTTTAGTTTTTTTTAGCAAATTTAAAATCTTAAATCATCTATATCACGCATTTTTTAATTTTGAAAGGGGGCGCGGAGCCGATCTTCGGTCATAGTCTGAAAAATATGTTACCAATTAATTTTTAAAAATCAAAACAAAATATATTTTTCATAATTTTTTTTTCCAGTAAAATGAATTAAGCGACGTAATTTTAGATTTAAAACGTCCATTTTTTGTTTATTTATATCAGAGACCTGCAGAGGTACCATTTGCACGGCCCGGCCCGGATTTTTTTAAAAAGTTTTTTACGATGCTTTTCGGGTTTTATATTTTAAGGCCCTGCCCGGCTTTTTTAAAAAAAATAATTTTCAGGTCCGGCTCAGCCCGGATTTTTTAAAATATATTATATTTATTTTTGATTTTTATAGCTAAAAATGGCTATTTCAAATATTTGGTTTTAAAATGGGTATTTTTTAAAAAAAAATTCAGACCCGGCCCGGGTCTCTTTATACACAATATTCATATTTTGTTAACATAACTACATATTGTCTTATTAATTGCGAGGTAACTTAGACTGGGTCCCTTTGTTAAATAGCTTAATTTAAAACATTCAATAAAATTAGAAATATAAAAAAAGGACACTTATGTTTTTGTAAATATATAAAAATTGATGGGAAATACAAAACAACATGACAAAATTATAAAAATGATGGGAAAGACAAAACGTGTTTTGGGGATAACTAAAATGTACATATAAAAGAAAATTGGCCAAACACAAATCTTTATAATATGTTCATTATTTCATGAACATTATTTTTTTATAATCGCAACACAATAATTTTAAAATTCAATTATATTCCAAGTTTTTTAATATTTAAACTGAATAAAAGGTATATGTTTCCAATTTAAATAAAATGCAACTTAATATAAATAATGATTATATTATGGCGGTCAAATAAAGGTAATAAAAATAATTTTTATTTGTTTTTGTATGATATAATATTCACACTCAAATTTAAGATTAATTAGGTCAAGTTGAAAAAAAAATTTTGAGTTCTGGTCAGGCTCGGACGAAATTGTTTTTATGATTCCTCGGGTCGCAAAAAAATTACTTTGCAGACTTCTAGTTCACCTTAATCGCTGTTGATTTAAGCAATTGTTGAACTACATTTTTTTAACTAAAAAATTATTAATATTCAATTGTCTAAATACCAATAATTATGCGTTTTCATTTCTGATAAACAATTGTTGATTAAATATAAATTTTGCACCTTAATGATTAATAATAAGATACCTCCTAATAGCTGTCCATGATTGTGGCACTCGCTTATAAATTTATTTATCAATAATATATTGCCATATATAAATATATAATAAAACAAACCTCCCCCTATTCTCCTCTCCTTCAAGAAAATTAAATCAAAATAAAAATTAGTAAAAAAAAAATTCCAAATAAAAAACAGCAAAAAATAAAAATCAAATTTACATTTACCTCACTCTTTCTCTTCTCTCTTACTTTACTCAACTCCCACATATGATAAAGTATCCCTAATCACTCCCCACCACGCTTCGATTTCGAAGAAGATCTTATGGAAGAGGTGATTAGCCTGAACCAATCTTATGTCATGTGAGACAATTTTAAAAAGTGTTATTTATAAGCTTCAAATTTGATTTTTAAAAAATACTAAATATATTTAAACTTTTTTCGGGGGTTTCCGGGAGTTTTTCCCCGTGGTTATTTTCTGTAAGGTATTTTATTCGGAGGGTTTTTTTCCTATTATCTAAATATACATATACTCTTATTCGAAAAACCTATTTATATACACAATTGCAGAATGTGGATGACGAGATGTCCTATTTGTGTGGTTATCTCAAAATCAAAGGCTTGACCCTGGAATATCCTAAATTAACGACATTTTTTGATGGAGAAATTATAAGCAAAAAATATCCCTTTTTGACCCGAAAATGGGAAGCGGATGAAGAGGTTGACAAAAAGCATTGGGTTTGCGTTAGTTCAAAACATATTTATAAATAGTATCCATCGATTGATCTATTCAGAGGTCAAAATATAAAAAGTGATTTAGGTAGTAAAAAATTTTGAAATTTAAACGAGTGAAATATAATAAAAAAGATAAAAGCATTAATAATAATGAATATATTGTAACCTTAATTTTTTTTATCCTTCGTTTTTAAGGGAAAATTCCTAAACTTTTATCAATACGCCAAAAATTTTAATTCCGATGATTTCGATTACGATGACCTCAAAAAATCTGACTACGTTTACATGCGGTGGAAGGTTTACTTACTTTCATTATTTTATTTTATGAGATTTGGTTAGTTAGGAATATTACACGCATACTCTATCGGCTTTTATTTTTTTCAATTCTGGTTTAGAAAGAAAGAACGCATATTGGTTTACCTACTTCATTTTTTAATTTTTTTTATAAAACAACAATTAATACAGTAAGGGAGAACGGAAATTTAGCCATAAAAGGCAAACCACGATAAAATTAAAGGTGCCTTATAATTTTTAATAAAAAATATCTCATTTTGTTTCTCTAGTTTAGTGTTTTTATACGGCTCTATTTTTAGCCGATTTTTTAAAGTGGCTAACTCAATATTTTAGCCAGAAAAATATTGCCTAAGCTTTGATATTTCACTAATAGATGTCCAAACCTTTGTGTCATCTATGAGCAAAATCTTATTATTGATTTATTTCTTTCATCTGAGGTCTTGCCAGATTTCCATTGGTGAAAATGGCTAGAAGAAATTTCCGCTGCAGCCTTCATGTACCTCCTGATACAGTCTAAGCCCGGATTTTCGTTATTCTTTAATTTGTTGACAGTCTCTTTTATTTTGTCTAGTGAGAAATCGGTGGATGTTGAGTAAAGGGCTGGATGTTGTATAATAGCTACTAGGGATGGGGCTCTGGAATCGAAACGTATAATTGGCCTTGATATAGCTAATTGTTTTCCAGGGTCTATATAATTTTTGCTGGTAACTTCCTCAAATTTGAGGGCTTTCAGAAATGGTTTAGTTTCTGTATGAATTATGAGTTCTGGTGTCCTCAAATCTATTGCGATAAATATTTAGAATAGTTGTTTTGGCGAAAGCCATTTTTTAGTTCCTGTTTATTGAGAAATTGTTATAGGCATAGAAGAAAATATGTTTAAGGTCCTTCCAACATTCCTCAATAAAATTAGTGGGAAAAAGATTCTTCCTTTTTCTTGATATTTTTAGGTTAGTGGATAACCATTTCTTATTTTGTTTATGAGTTTATATTTGGTTACACTTGGTATTTATTCTCCATTAATCACTTTCATTTGGTCTTTAAGCATTCTAAGATTGGATATATTCATGTTTAGAATAATATCTTGGAACTCCGCTTGTGTATGTTTAACAGGGGGGAATAGTTACTTCTAGTAAAGGTAATAAGATGAGCGATTTTTTGCTTAAAATGGTTTTTTCTACTATCAAATCGTTATCAGGGCATCATAGTTGAAAGTGTCTCTTAGTGCATTGCTTTGATTTATTGGCGATTGTTTTCTGGTTTCGTATATGTAGTCAGACCCTACACTCAAAATCTCCCATAATGTTGATGTTGTATTTTTGGTAACGAGCTTACTGTGTTTTTTTAGTATCTCCGTGGGTCAGGATGGAGTATTGATATTTACTAATATTGTCGCTTGTATACAGGATTCAAATATAACACTGCTATCCTTTCGGGACGAATTTTAGGAGCCTATTACTAGTAAGGAAGGAGACCCCTGTCCTCTTAATTTCTATGATGCCTGAACAATAAAATATAAATCTTTGAAGATGCCTCTCTGGTTATCTGTAAAATATGTTTTTTTAGGATATTCATGGTTTCGTTTGTTATTAATGTCATTAGTATGGGAGTTTTTGCCCCTCACCCCGTTTATATTGAGAGTGGATGCGAAAAATGAATCGCTAAGCATGTTAAAGAATAAGTGCCACCGGAATTTAGATGAATTTGGGAGGTAAGAAATAGTGGAAGGAGTTTAGCGAAAGTAGATTAACATAAATGCTACTTAAACGACAGCAGGACCAAGTTGGAAATAAGGTATTGGGCATGGTAAATAATGTGCATTGAAATGGTACAAAGTAAAAATTTTAAATACTATGTTATCCAAAAAAAAATTTATTTAACCAAGTATCATTTTATTTTCAATTTATGAATAATACCCAAAATATACTAATTTCTTTTTTTTAAAAAATTGAACTTAAAGGAATACCACAACATTTCTCATTTACCCTTAAAGGGCAAAGTGGGAATAGTCCACCAGCTTGATGCCAACATCTGATTAATGTCTATAAATTCTATGGCATTCACATATTTTGCTTATTAAAGATATTCCTTTTTCAATAAAATATTTATTAATCAGCTAAATGACTTGATTATCACGACCCTGCAGAAATCCTAATTATTTTATTATATCACGAGCTTCGTCGAATTCATTATTCGTAAAATTTCGTTCTTGATATTAGGGTTATAATAAGTAGGTATTATTGTGGGTAATTGTATATAGATTTTAAAACTTATTTAAACATGTTTTTAATCATTTCTTTTTCTGGCGAAAAAGATGGATCTTCGTAGCACCATTGAATAATATGCGTTGGTCAATATATTTCCTGTTCATAACAATGATATAGCTGGTGAAATGTATTTAAAAACTAATTTTTTTTATTCAAATGTTCATCATTTAAGATATAATTATATTTATATTTTCTCTTGGACAAATGTTATAAACAGCTTTTTAAACAACGGATTCTTTTATAACTTTTTGTAAATACTTGTTACAACATTTTATAAAGGAAGCCTATTAGAGTTAAGAGTATCATTTAAATGATATAGTGTGTTGCGATTTCTATAGTTAGAGAATGCAACACTTAGCATGTGTTTATTTGTTATTATAATTGATGTACTACCCCGTTTCATTGATATTCTATCACTCTTATTTTTTACCTTATTAAAAATTTTAATTTAAAAAATATTGATGAACGATCATAAAAAAAGGAATTATTATTACAAATATCAATATATAATGAAGAAAGTTTAATATAATCTAATAAATTTAAATTATAAATTATTAAAATATATATGATTTAAAATATATAACCATTCAAAATTATCGCCCTACCAGAGATGTTAATTTGGCAATTTACCCAGATTTATGATTTTCTCTTAAATTGAGGATCGTGGTCGAGATCATTTTGTTTAATATTCGATCCTTCTATCCTTTTAAAAATTTATTTTTTTACTAAAAGTATGTAAATAAAATAAATTTAAATAAAATATTATTAAAATTTTATTTTATCTCCATCATCTTTTAGCATCCTCCGCCATATTTTTATTTTTCTCATAAATTTTATCAAGACAACATTTCGAATTTGATTTGGTACATACAAGTTTTATTTATTCAATTATAAATAATATAAATTATTTAAGTATTTACTAATGTCTATATGATCTAGAAGAAAATATACATACAGTTATTGAAGTGACAGATACAAATGCGAACATTTTACCTTTTCCTCAGCTATGCATGATAATGTTAATTATCATTTCTTAGAATATAGATTTATTCAATATGTGAGGAAGCATATTAGCAGCAATAATTCACCCAAAATTTAAGCTTAATTAGCCTTGTATCTATCACGTTGTGCCGCTTACTTTTTGAATATTATTACCTCTATTACTTTGAGAATATTATTACCAGAACTAAATTAGGCTTGAATCTTTATTTCTTTTATTACACAAAAAGAAAAATGAAATTTTATAATTTTTTATAGTAAAAAAAACGAATCCAAAATATAAAAGAAAATAATAATTCAAAAAAAATGAATTTTACATGTCAATATGCTTCCCTTTTATAGAGAAGCTAGACTCACAAAAAAGTTTAAAATAATAATAAATTTAAAATACATTTTTTAAAAATTATAAATCCCAAAATCAGGGACGAGAACCTAAACCCTCAATGTTTCGCTAAACCCAAATCCTTTTTTAAAGTCCAGGGTTCAAGCTTTTTTTTTAATTTTAAAAAATTTATATATTAATTTTAAAAAACATTTTTGGATCATTTTTTCGTGTAATTATTATTGTTATATTTAGTAAATTTTTAACTTGTATTGTAGTATTATAATTATGATGATAAATTATTTTTATGGTGATATTAATTAAAACAAATTTTTTAAAAAAAAATGATGTTTAATATGTCATTATTTATCTGGTCTCCGAACCCTGAACCCGTACCGGGTTAAGAGATTTTTCACTGAAGCCATACCCGAACTTATTTTTTTAGAAGGAGGGTTCTCGTCCTTGCCCAAAATCATGCTGAAGAATCATAATTATAATTGAAAATAAAAATAACTCAAAAATTGCAATACATAATTGACTTAACCTAAATATCAATTTTACAAATCTAAAAATAAAATACAACTTAATAATTTCTATTAACGATGATTTTACAATATTTTCATTCAATTCAGTATCAATTCCGCAAAATTTGCTAAAAAAAATACCCATTTGAAAAACTTGCAGGATCAACCATAGTCAGATCTTATTCATTTGTGTAAAAATCTTTACAAAATGTGCTTTCCCTAATTTATTTTATTCAAATGAGATTCAAATTAATATTTTGAATTCTGATATAAATCCATCAAGCGCTTGTTTAAGGAAAGACATGGATGTTTGAATTATAATAATTTAGAATTTTATTATTATTTAAAGCCTAATTTAGTTTATAAATAAATGTAATATTGTTATATTATTCTATAAGGCTATTTCCAGACAGAAAGTTTTTCAAAGCTGTTTTTAGATAATGTTACCCAGCAATTTTTTTTATTTCCAAAAAAAAGTTAAATTCTAGAATTTTTTTTTTATATATGTATATTATTTCTGAAAAAAAACAATCCGGAGCGGAGCCATAAACGCCTTTTATTATTAAAATCAAACCAGTTTGTTTTCTATTTACGATTAAAAAAATGGGGATCTATATTGTTTTTTTTTAAAAATATTATATTATATAAAAAAATGAATTCGAGAAGTTAACATTTTTTTGGAAATAAAAAATTGAATGCTGGTAATATTACCCGAAAACCGCGAAAAAACGTTCTATCTGGAAATGGCCTTATAATAAATTTACACTATTGATATAAAAAATTTATTTTACAAAAATATAAATAATTTTGTTTTTGTTAATTTTGCATCGGGCATAAATATACTTCAGAAATTTATAAAATAAGAAAATGATCGTGATCGCAGTCCTTTATTTA